GCTATCCGCTACTAGACTGTAGTCGCCGCTACTTATTGCCTTCTGATTTGTAGACTATCTGGTTGAGGACCGCGAGATGACAGCAACCGATGGGTAAAGACCCTGAATGACATGGCTCAAAATCGTTTGCAATGGCGCAAGTGCATCCACTCTTTGTGTTCTCCCAAATTCTAATCTTCTGAATTCTTCATTTTTCTTTTTTCCTCTTTCCAAATTTATTTCACTGTTTTATAATCCTTGAATAACATCTTCAAACCCTAGTCTTGCCGATTTCTGCTTACCCCCTCTACAACTATGGGATTTGAATCGACAACTGCATCTCTGTGCTAATGTGGTGTGGCAACTCGAACTGATGTACGTACGTACGAAGTTCTACGTTGTTACTGACTGACTTTGGTTAAGGCTGGTAATGATGTGCTGAAGATTAAACACTGATATGTCTGTTAAGTGAACACTCGATCGAAATTTCTAGCCGCTTCTAATAAACCTAGACCAAATCTACACGACATCTTGAAAACTGGAGAAAAGGTGAAAAGTTTATATACAGTAAATCAGGGGTGTTATTAGAGTTACACAAAATCTTGAGCTTCTGTAATCATACTAAATAGAGTACCAGTATAGGTAAATAACAAGTTAGAAATGTGACAAGTGGCTCTTCACTTTCTGGATGTTTAATGAGGAGCTTATACTTAACGCTGACCAGATAAATGGTTTTTGAAAGTCTTCTGAGCCCCTACGGACTTTTCCGAGAAACATTTTGGAACTTCTCACAAAGATCTTTGGTGAAAGACTTTCGAACCGATCCCACATTTATTTTTTATTCAAACTTGTCCGTAACTCTTGATTTACAATATTATTTCGCACTTTTTACTCGCCAATGTCAACAGCTCCTTACGGAACATATGTTTAAGGGTTCACCACTTCCATCAAAATCCTTCCGATTTATTTACTCTTTTATATTCCACAACATTAAGTATTCCAAAGAATACTGGAATTTAACATGCTAAAAATATTATCCATTTTTTAAATCACCTAGCTCAATTGTAGTATTCTAATACATACGCAATTGATTTTTGTGTCGAAATCAACCCAATCACTTTATTGTAATGAAGAAACAAACGAGAAATTGTAATTACAAAACTACCGATGAATCAACATGTAAACATGACATTTACAGTTTATGTAGTCTGAGATTATTCAATATAACACATATTTCATTATCTTTTCATGTGTATGCAGTCTAGCGTAATTTAGTTATATCTAACCTAAATAAAATGATCATTCGAGTAAAGAATTAACCATGAAGAAATACGATAATATTTTCGTCTTGTTTGAATGTCGTCCAAAAATTTAGTCTAAATGTATTCAACAAATATTTTGTACATTATTTCAAGAGAATTGTCAAACAGACAAATAAATAACTAAATTAAAACACATAGATACACAAAGGGTCCATAAAACAAGTGTTTGATGAATCATCCTATTTTTGAATTATAAAATCTAATTAAATTATTTATCAAGATTTGTAAAAGTATCTGAGTGTATCTAGGCTCATAGGTATTTTCCTATGTACACATGCACACATACATATAATAATGTATTCGCATACTATAATGTATATACGAGATACAAAAAAAAACTAGATTTCTTGATAAAAGATAGAGAATTCAAAATATAGAAAAAAAACAATAAAATTAGTCATCACTTAAGATTGATTTAGATGGATTCAAGTGTCGTAGATTATAACTATCATCAATAGTAATCAAAACTTTATAAATTTTGTCCATTAATCTGCTTCGGCAATATCAACGGTATTTTAAACACCAAGTTTCAATCAAAGGTATAACTTTTAACCAAATAGCTGGAATGTTTACCATATAACGCGTGGATATGGGAAAGGTAATACGAAGGGGGTATATACATTATTAACACTATTGTAAGTTAAACTGGGAGTAAGGATATGCTCTTTCGGCTAATCATTACAATGTGGCTTTATTAAAAGTGGATGGGAACTAAAATCCACTCCAGTGTTACCTGTTTGAATATGTAACAGATTATACTGTTCAGAATTAGTTTTTATTGATTAACCTTAGGTATAAATGTTTGTAGACCCAATATCCAATCTAATATTATGGTCGGATGTGGAAAATATTTATTTAAAAATAAAAACCTTCCAGATTTTGAGTAGGCTTGTAATCTAATTGTAGCTGACAAAGACGAGGTGATAACAAAGCAAAACCATAGTGAAATGAATTACCAAGACAGAATACTATGTTACCTAACTGACTTAATCACCAGAGAATAATTGTTCTTTTTGAAAAAAGAGCAAATTGATTGGGAATCTTGCGATATTTCAAAATTGAAGGAATATTTTTTCATAAAATCTGAAAACGAGTTGTTGAATCTTCACATTTTATTTCTTCTCATGAAGAACGTTAAACGCAACAACGAAAAACAATAGAGTATATAAATGAGTATTATTTAGTCTTTTTCCAAAGATGTAAAAGCAACATTTCCCTAAAGCTTATTAGCTCGAAATTAATACTTTACATCGAAAATCCAGGTTAAAAACATGCGACCACTTCTCGAAGCAGAATTAAAGTGCTAGAATAAATGAATTATTTATTTGAAAATCTCGATCTATAAAAATAATGAACAGTTTTGAAATTTACATTCTTTACTTTTCCCTAGTTTCATTCTTTTATGTTAGAAAAGTATAAGAAAATATACGTTATCATTTTAAGTCTATATTAGTCAAATAACCTTTATAAATCAAAATGAACTATTGATGAGAGACGTTTTGGATTATTTTTGTCGACTGATATTGTGATTTGAATTGATGAACACATCTAGGACAATTAATCAATGAGTCTACTAAATCGGTAACCTGAGGTGCTTGTCTTACATAATCAAAACAGTGGTTACAAATTTGAACAGAAAAATTGACTAAGCTGCAAAAATTTATTTACGAATCCGAAGAGTCATCTTGAGTGGAAATTAAACATAGAATCCAATGGTTTAAATGCGGATGGTATAGCCAATACACAATCAATATTTCCATAAACTTCAGCGGGGTAAAGATGTATCTATTCTTGATATTCATTCAAATATATAGAATGATCTTAATACCAAGTTTTAAAACATTAGGAATGAACATAATTGTATTATTTTGATTAATTCTAGGTCACATTATTTAACATTACAAAACATAGAAGTTAAGATTATATTCCAAAGGGGTTCTAATCTAGATCTCTGTACCTACCAATGTGGTTAAGTCTAACAATTAGTGATTACATAATAAGACTAAGTATGAATCATGAATTTTAATACTGATATCAATAAATCATTATTCGTAAAAAATGTTGACCAAAGCACACAGAAAAGTAGAATGTATGCTTTAGAAAGCAACAAACAATATATGATATCATTGTCATCTTATGTGTATAAAATAAGTAAAGAAATTTATTATTTGATGAGTGAATGACCTTTCTCATCATTTAAAAGAATTCATAAACCTATTGTGTATTCTATACTCTTTTTTCAGTAATGTTTCCCAACCTGATAAACATATACACGCACATAAATTAACTCATACAACAACAAACATACACGATCTTGTCATAAAACAGGTTACATAAAATAAACAAATCGATTTTTTAACTACTCAACATTTCAATGAAATTAATCAATTCACAATTAAGACAAGAAAAATAAAAAGAGGAGGAAAAGGTAAACATTTACGTAAACACAGCTGAAAATTTCACAGGTTGAAATCATGAGTCAGTTGAAGCTAGACCACCATTGAAAACCTGGGAGCACTGGGCGGCTGTTTTGTCCTAGTATGGGACTCCTCAGCAGTGCGCATCCACGAACCCGCCCCCCGCGGGATTCGAACCTAGAACCTGCTGGCTTCGCGCGCGAGCACTTAACCATTAGACCACTGAGCCGGCGTCCGACGGTGTTAATGTCTAACTTCAACAACGTTGGATGCCGGCTCAGTGGTCTAATGGTTAAGTGCTCGCGCGCGAAGCCAGTAGGTCCTGGGTTCGAGCCCCGCGGGGGGCGGGTTCGTGGATGCGCACTGCTGAGGAGTCCCATACTAGGACGAAACGGCCGCCCAGTGCTCCCAGGTTTTCAATGGTGGTCTAGCTTCAACTGACTCATGATTTCAACCTGTGAAATTTCCTAAAATCTCCACAAAACTCATTCTGACAACTGAAAATGTTAAATTGTAGTTTAGTATTTTATAATTTAGAAATATATTTATCATTAGACTACAACTGATAAAAATTCCCATCCATTAATTATAAGTATTATTATTAATAATCATAAGAAAATATGAATGGTGGCTAGCAGTGGAATCCAGAACGCGCGTTTCGTCCTATTTGGGACTCACAAGCTGGTACAGGTATATCCAGCTAACGAGTCCCAAGCAGGACGAAACGCGCGTTGTGGATTCCACTGACAGCCGCTATCCATCTCTGCATATAACGTTTATGACCTAAAGCAATATCGAGGCAATACGCACAGGATGCATATTTACCAATGAGAGACTGACCAATTGCAGTCCTGAACGTCAATGGGAAAATACAAACGATCAATGCAAAAATGAATTATTATGATTCCTGTTTTCATTTTCTAATGAATTATAAAAAGTACTGATGAAAGTCGAATAAGTAACGAACTTTTTCATTTTTGGTCGGCGATAAATTCTAACAAAGAAAGAACTATATTTCCAACGACGATGTTGGATTCACGGGGAAGCATACAACAACAACTACTTATATCAGCAAAAGTAGCATCAGCTTAACCATATCTTATCATAAACGCCACTCATGTATTTTTCTTACATCAAACGTTATACTAAATGCTTCCGAATGTAGTAGAATTTTAAGATTTCAAACCGCTTCCCACATCATTAGTCAACTGGATAAAAGGAATTTGTATATTCATATAAATACACACACATAAAGAAGGAATCACATGCAAAAAAAACTTACTTCACCAAATGCTCCTTTACCAATTATTTTAAGAGGTAGAAAATCATCAACTGTGAGTCGTGCTCGTTTAAGTCGGAGAAATTCACTTTCTTTGAGAGCATGTTGTGTACGTTTGATTTGTTTCTAGAAAACATTGTAAACACAACAAATGTTATTGACATGCAAAACAAGAAGCAACAACTATTTTAAACAACGAGAAAAGATAAAATTCCATCCAATTCGTTTATTTATTTACTAATTATTGATATGATAGAGTTGGAACAGTGTAGTCAGATAATTGATGCTTGTTAAAACAAATTAAGAAATTATCTTGACAATTCCAAAGAAAATATAGTTCCTCTATAAACATTGTAGTTTTGTTTATTTACTTCATTTAACTGACTTCCTTACTTATTCACTGTATTGTTTATTCGACTGTGGTACAAGATAAGAAACTATCAAAAAGAAAATATATTTAAATGTTTAATTATCAAACATACATATCTCTTACCTAGCAAAAAAAACGATTTCTAATTTCTAGGATTCGACTAGTGTATTCGGTAAATTTAGACTTTATTTGATTATATTAAGTAACTTGAGCCAAATTTTTTTAAAAAAAGGTTTGAAATATTATAAGATTCAGTTGGAATAGATGGGTTGTAACAAAAATTTCGACGACATGATAAATGACTGAAAACTTGTTGATGTATACAGAATATCAATATGAACAAAGTATTTTCTTTTCGTAGATTGCTATCTAAACTTTTTAAGTGAGAATTTGTGTTATTTCAAAGTGAACTTTAAAACTATAGGAAATTCGTGACGTTGGTGCTGCAGTATTAAAACTACAATTCACCATTTATATGATTAGATTCAGTACAGATGTGGGTAACTAAATGATATACGTGTTGTTCATATTGCTAGTTGTATCATAACGATCACAGCCAATCTACATTAATCTAACAATACTTTAAAATAAAATACATCGGTCATTTCTACTAGCTTTATACACTCACATGCTCCCTAATTATAACGTTTCATAAATTAATACTGCACGCCAGATTTAATGAAAAGCACACTACTCTTCAGATATTGCCATCACATTATTTACTTAGTTACGGAATATACATTAGCCACAGGCTTGTGCGATGGGGTGAAGTTTAACTAATCTTGTATTGGTTATTCGAATATTCTCATTAATGTTTATAACTAAAATTGATCAGTCTCTTATTGTCATATGCGCATCCTGTGCAACCTGTACTTATAATGCTTGTGACTTAAGACAATTTCGAGACGATCTACACGGGATGCACATATGCCAATAAGAAATTGATCAATTAAAGTCCTGAACGTCGATGTGACGATTCAAACAACCAATATAAGATGACTTTTTTCTACCTAGTTTTTATTTTGTTTCATATTTTTCAAAGTAAATAAAAAATGGATTTACTATAATCTATATAAATCATTTGATAGAGAAACATGCTTGTACAGAAATAACAAATTTACATAGAGACATTACCAATTCGAGAAAAAAGTGAGATTTATGTTTACGTTTATGAGAAACCCATAAGGTTGATAATATAAATTACAAAATCCTGATCATCTTATTTTGTTTCAGTGGCTCATTATTATTGCTGGGACTTCAGGTATTTCTATAGATTATGGCCTCTGTTGTAACAAATACAATTGTGAAGAGTCAAGCCTAGTATAGCGAAACCATTTACAATTGGTCGAACGGTGGGTAATGACCAGTGTCATGTGTGTCAGGTCCTTCTTCATGGAGGTTGAATTCCATAAAACAAGATGCAATATGGCCACTTCTATGTGACTCGACATCAATCAGTTGTAAATACATCATAATCTTACAGGAGGTCAGTCGTAACCCAGATAGCTCAGTGGTAGCATCTCAGATTGTGAAGCTGGGTTACGTGGAACTGTATACATCAGGGGACATCAGTTCCTTCAACATTACAGGTACACATTACTGATGAGGGTCAGATTCCACGAAACCTATGTCTGGGGTTCCCTGTCCACTACCGTCAACCACCACTTTACAGGAAACAGAAGTTGTAAGCATACATTTTTATACGCTAGTAGTAGTATATCAAGTAGTGTGAACTGGTGTTTATAAAAACAAACCTATATAATGGTGTACTTCCGAACTAGGTAAAAAATAATAATCCACAAACAACCTAAAAAATGCCGAGTTTATTGACGGGGACAACCAATCAGCATTAACAATGCCAATATAGTTAAGTAAAAAAAACAACATATGTAACTCTTAAGTGAGGATAATACAATTTTTTTCGAATTGGAAATAATTGATAAAGCTTAACTGTCTAATACAGAAGAATAAATATTTATACAGACAAATATGTCATTCAATTTCACGTTCATCATATAGCATTAAAAGATATGTGCAAGGAAGTGATAGAATGATACTAGGAAAATAAATGTGAGGCGCGAGGCAAATAATAACATAAGACAGACAGGCAGTTATTTGCAGCGTAGAACTTTGTATATATAGTTCTATCGGTTCACGTTCCTACACCACTATATGAATGAGGAGTCAGACATGTAAGATGAATTAAATCTTAGTTGATAGTGATTATTCACGATGAAAAAAAACTACGGAATGATTAACACTGACTTCAATTAGGATTTATGTCCGAATTGATATGAGTATAAAGATTTCCCGAATTCCACTAAGGAAAATTGACAGACATAAACTCGTTACATCATTCCGTGAAATTACGTCGTAATGTATCAGCACATCCATACAAAGTAACCGGAAACTAATGTTTAAAGACTAGATCATGTCCCAGGATCAGGGAAGAGTTGTGATTATTGAAAGGTTTTACGGTCAGACAAATGTAACGATGCATGGAGGTTATACACCTCGCACAACCTACCTCACAGTTTTCGTTTCTCTACCCTACATCTTCGTCTTGCCGTCAAACTTGGGGGCTATGTTAATACGATATGTAACATATTTGTTATCATTATTTCATGTTCTTTATGCAACCCAGGAAATAACTAAACAGAAATGTTTGCAGGTACAAACAACTAAGAACTTCGAGAAAAGCTGACAGAGAAGCAAAATGACAAACAGTTACTTTCAACTAGTTGAAATGAATTAATAGGTACAATCATCTTAATATATCGGGTTCTAAATGGACAGATATCTGAAGGAAACAAAGATGCTTGATTACAAAAGACTAACGAGCACACATACTCAGTATCGAATACAAAAATGATGATTAAAAGTTAGTTAAAAGATAAAGGATTAGAACATATGAATTTCGTGAGTTCCTACAGTGCCAACAAAATCAAGATTTAACTGTCAGGTTTAATGCTTGCCCGAGATTTCACAGGTTCATCGAAACAAAGTGACTGGTAGGTTACATTACAACTAATACTTCAAAACATATTATCATAATACAGATTATGACAGTTGGAAACTGTTTATACATAACGGATTTCATTAACCTTCAGTCTATAATTATTCTGAACTCATATTATTCCTCTTATTTCGTTTAAAATTCAATAATGTGCTATGCTCAACATTCTCATTTAACCTATCGCAATGAATATTCTCATTGATTTAGGTAATAAATACTCTGTGGATTAAACTATGAATCAATATAAATTGTGTGGATAGTTATATCAATTTTTACTCAGACGAACACAAAAATGTCTACATTTTGTGATTATGTTAGGCCAATTGGTTGTTTACTAATAAACACAAATACAAAAACATGTGAGCACAACTTCTTCTTTGATAGATATCTTGAATTTTTTCTGTATGAAAACAAAGTAGGAATAACGATAAAGATATGCTGGGTTGTTTAACTGCATATATATGGTTCCAGGTAATTTTTCAAGCAACTATATTTGATAATAAAAACAATTGTTGAAATATAACATTTATCCGGAACAGGATACCATAGGTGATTCGATAAAATTTTAGAAAAATATAAATACATTCGACTGAATTAATGAAACTCAATAACCGATTACAGCTTCTAGAGCTTATTTTTGAGGTACGCTTTTTATAGTAGTGCTAATAACAGTACTTTCTAGCTTCCTAAACAAGATTGTAGGTGGAGCTCGAGTTCAATTCACAAACCAGTCGTCGAAATTTAAGTAATTAAATTGGTAAACCATTATTCCATTGAAACTTTTATACGATCAGTAATCAAAATTAAAGGTCACAGATTTAATTTATATGCTGCTAGCGTTATGTAGGTTCATCGTAGACAGAAACTACAAGCGCGTACAGATTTATCATCTTTAAAGTGAAATTCATTGTTAATAAATAAGTAACATTGATTCCAGTTTGATTGAACATGATAACTCTTGTTTTCTTAATTTAAAATTATTAACGTGAGTTAAATGAAATCTTGTTTGGAGAGATAAAATGTTTGACTGCTAAACCAGTAGCTATTTCATATACAATCGAAAATCAGCGAACTGGTCAAGTCTGATAAAATAAAAACGAAGGGAAAACCAATTGAAGGACAACACACAAGGTATCATCTTCAAATATATGAATTTTTTAAAAATCCCAGATGCAAGTTATGCTAGTGATCATTCGAGACTTAAATGAAGATCTATATATAGTACTAAGTTATAATCATAACAAACTACAATCAACACATATATGTATTGAAACAAATATGATCATTTAAAGTATTGGGCTAAAATTGTAGATGAAATCAAGAACAAGTTGATACGTATTTGAAAACAAACTATAGAATGCCATATAGAACGCAGCAGGTAGAATATTTTATTCTTTTGATGAAACCTCATATTTATCAGTTAAAAAAATAAAGCTATGTTATCGGTAAATGCTGGTATATAATAAGAATTTTATAAAACAAAAAATGCCTACTTGTTCTTCTGTTAGGCCTTCACTTTCCATCATTGACTCTAAAATTTTGTACCTGTCAGTAAGAAATAATGAATAAAAAAATACTAACAGTATTGTATTGAGAGCAGAAAATGGCATTTTCCATGATAAATATTACACTAACATGAAAACCAGTTGTATTAACCGCCTACCGGGTTGGTAGTTCTAATCTCATTTCACTTACGAAAGAAAATAGACATTAGGACAGTATCATTAGTGTTCACAAAGAAATTATGGCTCATTGACAAGTATCTGAATCTTTAATTTATGAGACGGTAATATCGATCATTAGCATTTGTTACACAGATTTGTATCTGTCTAAGACAGTGAACCTTTAGAACAGTATGAGTAGGGGCAGAAATATGTGTTGGATGAAATGAGGACACTATGCGGAAGTAAAAACTGAATCCATAGTTGTCATGATTAAAGTGATAGAAAATCACAAAAGGATCAATGACTTATAAAATACCTTGATTGGTTTAATAATTTCGTATATGCATATAAATATTACTGCATAGTAGAGTAAAGCCTGATGAGGATATAATCGAAAACAATATTGTTCGCTTATATATGTTGTTCTAAATTTACAAAAGGATATGTTGATAAAAACACTTAATGACCAGATTTTAAGCGGAAAACAAAACCAAATTTAGAGACCATTGGTTGACATGTAACAAAATTACTAGAGGAACATTTAGTACTGATGAGGATACGTCGGTTAATTCAGTCAGCTACAACGTAAGACCAGGCACATATATGCATCAGTCCAAGTTGCCACACCTCATTAGCACAATAAAACGAACACCAAATTCATAGAAGTGGTTACTCCAATAGTAATAATATATAAAAACAGACTGAATACATATGATACAAGAAGTAATTAGTTCGTAGAAAGAAAGGTATATATTAACTGTAACCTCACGGCTTAAGAGAAAACAAAGAGTGTATACACCGCCACTGTGATCGATTCTGAGCCATATCACCCAGTCTCCAACAATTGGTTACGATAGTCACACGGACCCCAACCAAGTAGTCTGCATCTACCAACATGGCTCAGACTACAAGTTAGTGACTTTAAGCACTGATGCCACGTTTTGGTTTGGCTACCCCTAACCTTCTTCCAACCATTCTCAACACCGGTTAGCATTGCACGTCGTGGTAATCGGTGTTCAGGCATACGTGACACGTAACCCAACCATCTCAGTCGATGAAGATTCATAACCTCATCAACTGATTTACCATCATTCCCTAATACCCTGTGTCTAACCTCACTATTACTTACCCGGTGATCCCAGCAGACGCCAGCAATATTTCTAAGGCATCTGTGGTCAAATACTTGTAGCTTACGAGTACCTTCTACTCTTAATGGCCATGTTTCGCAGCCGTAAAGTAAAACAGAACGAACTGCCGTGCAGTATACTCGTCCCTTAATTGATAGACGGATATCTCGCCTTTGCCATAGGTGACGTAAGTTGGCAAAAGCCAAGCGAGCATTTCGAATGAGTGCTGAGATTTCGTCAGACACCAACCCATTAGGGTTGACCAGACTTTGAAGATAAGTGAAGTTGTCAACGCGTTCGACTACTTCACTTCCTATCCTTAGTTCAGGTGTTGACGCAGACCAGTCCTGAAGCAACAACTTGCATTTAGAGGGAGAGAAGCGCATTCCAAACATCCTGGCATTGTTGCTTAGTGCTACCAGAAGACTCTGCATTTTATCAGCGTCTTCACCAAACAGGACTATGTCATCTGCGTATTCTAAGTCGATAAGTGGACCTTCTGGTAGGAGATCAATACCCGAGAAAGTCGACGAGAAAGTTATTTCCATCAGTAGATCTATGATGAAGTTAAACAAAAATGGGGAAAGTGGATAGCCTTGACGGACACCACTTGAGGTTGCAAAAGTAGATGACAGTTCGCCATAAGCTCTGACTCGACTAGTAGTGTTCGAGTAAAGAGCCTTCACAAGGTTTATGTACTTCTGAGGTACGCCTTTCAATGACAGACACTGCCACAGAATCTCGCGGTCTGCAGATTCAAATGCAACTTTTAAGTCAAGAAAGACCACCATTGTCGGACGCCGATAAGTATGCCTATGTTCTAGGACCTGACGAATGGTGAATATATGGTCGATACAGTCACGAAAAAGTGTGGGCCCAGTCTGATTTTCTTGTGTTCGCAGTTCACGAGTCTTTGTTAGGCGTCCAATAATTATTGAAGTTAGTACCTTAGATGCTATATTAGTCAAACTAATCCCTCTATGGTTATCAGAGGATGACTTTGACCCCTTCTTACAAATAAGGACAACCAGTAAGATGGGATTACATCAAACTCGCAGATTTTAGTCAACCTAATCGCTAAAACTGGACCACCATTCTTAAAGACCTCTGGATCCAATCCATCTGAACCAGATGCTCTTCCTCGTTTCATATTAGCTAATTAAACATAAGCACTTAATATTCCATAGCATTTAACGTTTAAGAATGTCAGCCTTCTCCAAGTGATTTTAGAGACATAAGGGAGCGTTATATAATCCAAATGTAAACAAGTTACACAGGCCTATGTAATTTGGTCACATTGAAATTTAAATAGCAGTCAGAAGATTCATATGTACATGACTGGAGTCTTTAGAGGTGGGTTAAAGGGATTCGGTTTTTAAAGATATAGAAAGCATAGATCATTTTCATAGGATAAAACATTTTATTTTTTACCACAAGAAATTACTTCAATAGTGTTTCTACATCTTAGTGACCAACAGACACAATAGACAACCGACAGATTCAGTAGAGTAGATTTTCCACACAAAACAAGATTTTACTCCTTTTAGACCTTAAACGCTTTATGTGAACATCTTTAGGATAACGGTTTGTCAGTACAATGATGAATAACAATATAACATCAAAGTACATTAAGTGCTATATCTAGTCGTTGCGAATTACGTCGGAATCGCTTGTGATTTATGCCTGTAAAACATGGAACCAGTACAATTCCCACGACGAGGAAGTAAGAACACAAAGACTGGTACAAGTGAAAATTTATTAACCCTAAAACACGACGACGACCGTAGTCAAAAATATACTCATTCATATATCGATTTGTACACTTATTTTCATTAATAATTAGGATGAAATCACATACACACAAAAAAAACAGTTATAACAAATCAAATGCTGAGTGTCATGCTGAGCATAGTCCATGTTAATTTAATACAACAATATCGTATCTTGAACAAAAATCACAGTGAGTAAAAGAATGTAGTTTCGCTTTTCAATCCCATTATATCATTACAACAACCAGCCACTAAGACTGGTGGCCGCATTGCGGCCAGATCGTTAGGAACATGATATCAGTAACTAGTTTATGATCAATCAGTGTGAATATATCAGTCTTACAGGGTTTTAGACTCAGTAACTAAAGTCCATAAGCTTTAACTGTAAAGTGAACATACATTTCATCTAGATAAGCCTAAGACCAGCTTAATTATGACAGCATAATGATGGTAACATTCAGTATACTTTATCGAAGTTCACTAATTTAGGGAATTAAACAGGCACTATATTAACACCCGTATGTATAAAATTAATACCTTAGAAACAAAATTACATGTACTCATATAACTATTGTAATGGAATAGTCATTTCTATTATCTCATTTATCTACGCATAACATCCGGATTCATAGCAGATGCATAATGAAATTTATTAATTACATGTAAGTTGATATTTTAGGCTAAACGTTACACTTATTCTATGGTGGCGTGTAATTCTTCATAATCGCTTCAACACAATGTGGAACGGCGTTTAAACTATTGATCAAGTGAATGAAAAATGAAAAAATGGACCACTGAGTAGTAAATCTACTTAAGTGATTGTTACAATGTATGAATTTACTTTCAAATACTACCCTAAAACAAACTCACCTATTTTGACGTTCTCGATATTGAACAATTAAATTGTCGTAGTAATATTCCAATGTAACTTTTGCAACTTTCACTTTATCCAATGTATGACTACTAACATTCAATGAATTTATGGAGGGATTTGTACGATTTAATGATGTGGTAGAAGATGATGATGTCAAATCACCACCGCCACCGTTTATAACTTGACTATTTTTTGACATTGAAATAATATCAGGCTTCATTAATGTAGCAAGGGGATCGGTCGTTAAACTGAGATTACTATACGGATGTGAACTTGCGGTTGACATGGTTTTTTAAAATTATTTTCACCGTTTCACTTTTAACAAAATTACATTGAACCTCATGGATAGACGACAGTTACTTGACTGAGGAAAAACAAAAGAATCACGACTACTATTCAGAACGTTTCCACTGACATATAATTGAATGCAACACAATAGTAAATCATTGCTTTAAAATTACGTGCACAATTTATTTATCCCATAAACTTACACTGATGCAATTAATGGTTGCTTTTGAATTTTATCAGCTACTCACAACCCCCGAGTTACTACAGGTCCCAAGTCCGGGCAAAGGAGGGTACTATCAGTGGTTTGTTGTTTTAAATTACTTGGTTTTAACATAAGTTACTTCTATGCAATAGGAGATTCCGAATTTACTATGTCAGGTTTTCGTTGAGAGAACTACAGTATAAGCAAATTTACGAATCTACATTCACAAAGAATATCACGACTCAATGCTTACTTGAGTGATTTGTTTGAAATATGCATAGGATTCATCAGCAATTACATTATGATTAGCGAAGGCTTGGTGGGTAAAAATTAATTTATAATACACAGTGTACGAAGATATACTACCGGTGTATCATGTGGCACACATGTGATATCACGTAGAAAAGGCATAAGACAATAATGTTGCAATGTTATGAAATAAAGGAAGCGATTGTAGTTTAGAGGAAAATAAGAACAGTTTATGATGTTTGTAAAACAAACCTGCTACCAAACATTTTAAGCGAATGGATAGGAACTTCGGAACTACCATTATAAATCACTACCTTAAGTACCAGGGAACACTATTATACTAAGTTGTGAATGTTTGTTGATGCTTATTTGCAACAACACCATAACAAATTCAGAAAGGTTATTGAATGAAACTAACTAATCTAACTTGATGGTGCAGTAAAAAGCTTCTGATGTCCAGATTCACGTAATGTTGATAAATACATGACAACTGAGGAAATGATTGCGACAATTAAGACATCCAATACATATATATATGTGCTGGCCAATATGTCTAATTACCTTCACTGTATCTCAGTGACAAGTTTGCTTGTGGGCAGTATATTCAGTCACTTTTAATTTGAAGACGACTTAATATATCGAATTTGACCGGTGTTATCACAGATATTCTAGTACCACCGTAACCCTTCGATCCAGAAAATGATGAATAAATAACTAGCATAGCCCACTGAGAGCACTCAAAAACTGCTGATGTATTTATTTGAGAACCTAAAAACTAGAGTTCATATTTAACAGAGACTCTCATGTTTCCATTTTCAAACGAATACATCGAGTATACTTATTTTTCCAATGTGGAGCTGCATTATTTCAACACCATGAAACATGCGAGAGCGAAGAATCAGCGTAAAATTGGAATTTTATTTTTGAAAGAACAGCTTTCATTTCAATGAATTTAAAGGTCCGGGGGACAGATATGTGACGTGAGAACATAACGCGCACAGTTATTTCCTAACCCTACACATGACTTACGTTGCAAGTAACGAAAAGGTATTAACCTATGGTCCCCAAAACCGAGAAACATATTGGAGCAGGTGGTCTATCATCTGAACACCAACTTACTGACACTCACCTGTACAAAGAACTAGCGTCGAAAACAGCTTAATATAAGCGCTTAGCAGACTGAAGGTCTCTGATTCCTAATTTACGTATACAAACAAAGTTGCAACTATAAGGCGGGCTATAGATATTGGAAATTTAAAATGACTTGATGAAGAGATAAAAGAAACGTTTCCCATTTGCATGAATCACTTCTGCACTTTGTTTCATTATCAAGAAAATCTACCGACAGGTAATTTATGATTACGGATTGTCAGCTCAGGAAATGTTTTAGTTTGCGATTTATGGTTGTAGAAATTTATACAGACGGAAATAACCAATAATTACCAAGGATACTCTGTAGATTATTATACAGTAGACTTTTGTTATCCTGTGTCATGCAAAAAGGATAACCACTTCAAACATCCGTAAAATGAATGTTTTGGGAACAATTGGTATAACTGGTTATTTTGTCTCTTTACTTTGTAAGAATTGTCATGTTTTTACGTTTCTTAAATGTCTGTCTATGAACTAGCTCTTCGTATCTCCAGTTAGGCCAAACGGAGCAGTATTGACCGTAGGGTTGTGGAACATTTAACAGCTATCGCGTAGTAAAATGCAGATGTTTTATGGTCTTGGCTAACGATGACTCCCAAGTCGTTACGTATCAGACAGACCGAAATGCACATGGCTTCGGGAATTAGAGTCAGATGTCAACTACACAATAGTACATTGGAACAACGAAAATGGAGGGCGCGTAGTGGCATTGGACCATAACCACACAATCTTCAAAGCTGAACACAAGACTACCCAAAAAATAAATATTCAATATTTAACGCGGGGTTATTAACGATGGAAAAGGCGGGAACAATTAATTGAATGAATTGGAGTTGATCGGATGGCATGGCTCGGCCATGCAGGCGTGGTTCCTGCTGAATGTCACCTTATATCTTTTATTCGTATTACATATATATTGTTCTTTCTCTAGCCTAAGCTTGTTCTTCATCATGTTACGATACAGTGAGTTGGTGTAGACGAAGATGTGACTTCCACGTAAGATCTTGTAAATTAGGCAGTTTTACCTTGACAAATCTACAATTTTAGGATTAGGTCTATTATTGGAGCAGTACTAATATCATAGTAGACCATAATTCTACAGGCTCATGACAGAGTTGGTAGAAAATTACTTGTCGATCTCCTGTGAGGGATAAGAAGTGTATGTATATAAGCACGACAACCGTTAGAACTTAAAACACCATACTAGAAGAATGGTTTTCATAAATTTACACATGTGTTCTTAGTCAGGTGTTTTATCAAACGTCAAACTAATTGTTCAGTGATTTTCCTGATCTTGGTCGCCGAATGTGGAATTTAACGCGGATCACAAGTATCATTCATTCAGCTGTGCCTGTATCATCCCGACCACATTTAACTGAACTCTTTATCCATCTAAAGTTGAGTTGTGTTACACACTTCTTGGAAGATCATAGTTTTTTACATGAGCAGAGAAATCGCAAATGTCCCCATCGATTGCCTGAAAGTGGAGTCTTCGGAGAGCTAACATTATTCGCTTTACTGTCCGCTTATATCAAACAGCGTTGTGACACATACAATCATGTAAGCAATTTAGATATCTTTGTGTGAGCATGTGGTAAAACCCTTCCATGTTGACTTCTTGTGAGACTATTAAATTATCTCGCTTTATTTATTACATTGCATTGTTATGTACAACCGTAAGGCAATAATAATGCTTGTATTACTTTAAATGTAACTTTTTTTATGCACTAGGAGACAGTTATTTAGCTATATTTTGAGTTCTTCTTGGTAGAACTGATCAGACAATGTTACCGTCTAATGATGACCAGCACTCCTGAGTCAGGTTGATCTGCATGTGATCACATCCAGATATATTGTTTTCATATATTTTATGGTTTGTTTCCTTGCTTCTCTCAGAAATACCATGATGGCTGTGTTCTGATTGCAATAATGTGTTGTTTGTTGTTTAGTGTCTATCTTTAAATACAAATAGCGTTTTATAGATGTAAGCAGCAATTTCAATATCATTAGTTTTCGGATTAAAGCAGTTTTAAAATCTTTCTATGGATAGTTTCATACTTTCGTACGTATCTAGTTTAAGAGCTCTCGATCCATATAATTTCTGTTATAATCATTCTTTGTCTTACCTTTATGTGTTGAGTTGTTACTTTGAATTTTCAAGTCGTGTTTTCGTTGCATTTTTTTATTCTAGGTTAGGACGGTCTTATTGTTGTAGAAAAATTTCTGATTATTTTCAGTGTTCCACTTGATTGCTTGATTTTCACAGACGTGGTCGGTTTTGTTTTTATTTGGTTTTTAACTCGAGCTGCTGCCATCTTAAATTTCCATGGTCTGACTTTTGCCTTTTGAACTGATCAACTTAACCTGTCTCAGAAATGATGGTATGCTGTTACCTGAACAACAAAGTCTTCTTTCTTCTCTGATTGATAATATTTTGGTGTCTCACCATTTTACTTACTTTGTGTATTGTACAATTGATTGTTTAGTCATAATAAACTACAATGCCATCTGTGAAACCAAGAGTTGCTACTCTTTTAAGTGATTCCGTAAAGTTATGTAACACTGATTTAACTAGGTCTGTTCCTTACCAAAGAAATTTGCTTTGAATTTGCTCGCAAGAAAAGATGGGTGTCTAACGTTTGATTTGTGCCATTCAGAATCCACATGCCCCAGCTTGGAATTAACAGCTGGTACGATAATTATAGTAGCTAATCAATCACAAAACTGTTTGTGAAGCTATTTAGAATTCTGTCGTAGTCTGATCGTCTTTAATATCTTCGTGACCGCGAGTTGAGTTATCGATGAACTTTCGTGTCCGTTGAAATAATTAATCTGCATACCAATATCTCGATAAGTTATAATGCCGTTTGAGTTTAGAAATGAGGATTTTATTTTTGTCCACTATGAATTTCATCGGCTCGTCCACCACGTTGATCTGGTCTGATGTGTCTGTAAACTATCTCTTTTGCATGTGTCTCACCAAATGAAAGACGTTATCATCTCGTCATAATAATGTGACTCATAATTTTATTCATTACCATATGACGCGCAATACTGATTGTTATGTTTGTGCTTTTCACTTAATGACTGTAATTCCTTTAACTATTGCACTAATCTAATTGTTTTTACGTTTAGAAACAGATAAATTTTAAAGCCAAGTTGTCTTTGTTCTGACTTTGGCTTTCCCATAGACTCTGTGCTCCTCAGTATCGCGTTTACGGTTCTAGTAGTATATGTGTAAAACAAATTAAATCCTACAGATGCTCTTTAGGGTATGTATAATATTCTAATTATAGTATGAACTAGGAATTCCAGGATTAACGCAATTGAACTAAGAAGACACAGGCACAAACGAATGTATTGTATTTAGAATTCGAAATCAAGTATTCAACCAGTACAAAGGTATCATTGGTTCATTCAAACACCACATCCGCCACAGCTTAAATTGGAGTCTAGGTGTTTATAATCAATCGTACGTCTTCTTCTCAAATTTATCCTGAGTCTGTCTGACATTGTATTGGATAAGGATTCTGTATTATCTAGAATATGCTCATTAGCATTAGAATTAACAATCGAAATTGGAACTGACTCACCTGGTTCCTGAAATTGTATTTGATCTACATGTCGACTGTGTGTACTTAAGTCATCGATGTCTAGAATTCGCACCATCGATTTTCCGACATTCTTCAGAACAATACCCGTAGATGGTCGAAGATCATTTCCTCGATAGTATGTAACCTCTGCAGACTCCAGACATCTCATATTCGACCGAAGAATTCTTCCTTTCAATAGCTTCGCTGGAGTCTCCTTCGTCACCGAATGTTTGGCATTTCTATATTGCAATAGAAAGGTATCTACTCCCCTCTCCAGCTCATTAAATGTTGAGGGGGCTATAGAATCAATAGCAGTCTTTAATGTCCTAACAAAATTCTCTGCCTGACCATTAGAACACGGATGTCTGGGAGCAGTAAATAGATGTTTGCACCCTATACCGTTCAACCAGGTAGTGACTGCATCTGCAGCAAAATGTGAGCCATTATCACTCACCAACACCAAGGGAACACCTTCTCGACTAAACACCTTTCTTAATGCTTGTATTGTGAAATCAGAATTCGGTGAAATTGTGAAAAAAACTTCAGGCCACTTTGAAAAAGAATCAATGACTACTAGTGCGTAGTATTTACCAAGAAATGGTCCACAATAATCAGCATGAATTCTCTGCCAGGCCTCAGACGATACTGGCCATGGCACCCACTTCGAAGGATGGTTTTTCAACTGATGACATTTCTCACAACTGTTTGCCGTACGACATATATCTGCATTTATCTCTGGCCACCAGCATGTGAGCCTTGCCAAGGACTTCATTTTCTCAACACCTAAATGACCACTATGAAGATCTTCAAGAACAGATTTACGCAATGAAGGAGGAATGACAACACGATCGTTTAAACACAGAATACCATCAGGAGTAGTAGATAACTCATCCCGCTTTGAAAAATAGATAGGAAATCTCCGTTTCAAATTAGCATTCCAACCTTTCCTTATAGCACTGAGTATACATCTAAAATATCTACGCGTTTCTCTCATGAGATCTGAACGTCTCACTGATAAAGGTTGCACTAACAAACAATCCGAAGTATTAATAGGTTTATCTTGTAATGACTGTCGAGAAATGTAATCAACATGTTGAATCTGTTTGGCACTTCTGTGCTGAACCGTATAGTCATATGCACTCAAAGCAATACTCCATCGCTGAACCATAGCTGCTGAGGAACGTGCTAAGGATTTTCCGGGATGATAAATAAACTTTAAAGCTTCATGATCAGTAACAATAGTGAATTTCTTTCCGAATAAATATTTATGAAGTCTTTTAACAGCCCAAAACACAGCTAATGCTTCTCGCTGAGTCTGTGAATAACCTTGTTCAGTAACAGTAAGTTTGCGTGAAACACAAATAACTGGTCTACCTTCCTGTTCCAAAACTGCACCA